AACACTTTTCATGTCAGGAGGACTTGCCAAAGTGCTTTGCGGGATATACTGTAAAGTTGTGTGAGGTGTTTTGTGGGTGAACATTTATAACAGTCTGGTGATTAAACACACAAGAACATTGTTTGTGATCATCAAACTGAGAATGTCAGTGCAGCAGAATAGAACATTTCTCCACTTCATCAGGATCAAATGCTACCAAGTCTGCAGCAGTATGGCATAGTTTGAAGATATGTTTTTTACCAATTACTGCTGAACAGTTACTGATCCAATAAGCAACTGATTCAAAAAACAACAACTTGCACTTATATAGCGCCCTCCACTCAGGTTAGGGTCTCAGAGCGCTTAACAGTGGTAGTCTGACTCCGAACCGGGGGGAAGGGTGAGGTGGCTGTAAGCACGGTCGAAGAGGAAAGTCTTCAGGCGGGATTGAAAAAGGTGAGAGAGGAGGCAAGGCAGAGGGATTGAGGGAGAATATTCCAGAGTTTTAGGGCGTAGTGGCTGAAAGTGTGACCTCCGATGGTGGGGTGGAGGATGCAAGGGATGAGCAGGAGGCCGGTGCCAGTCAAGTGTAGGCGCTGAGTGGTGGATTGGGTAGTGAGGAGATCAGAGAGGTAGGGACGTGCCAGAGAGTGAATGGATTTGAACATGAGTGTGAGGATCTTGAAGTCGATCTGTTCAGTGATGGGGAGCCAGTGGAGCCTGGCCAGAACTGGTGAGATGTGGGTACGGAGTTTGGTCCGGACCAGCATGTGGGCGGCAGAGTTTTCAATGAGCTGGATCTTTTGAATGGTAGAGCTGGGAGACCGGCGAGAATTGCATTGGAGTAATCCAAGCAGGAGGTGATAAACGCATGCATGGGGGTTTCGGCTGCATTTGGGGTAAAGCACGGTTGGAGGCGGACAATGTTGCGGAGATGGAAGAAGGAGGTCCTGGTTAGGGACCGGATGTGGGGGAGGAATGACAGCTGGGGATCAAACCGGACGCCTAGGTTTCGTATTGGTTCAGTGAGTCTGAGGGAGAGTCCAGGGAGGTTGAGGAATTTAGATCCGCAGGAGTGAAGACATTGATGGGAACTAAGGAGTATGGCTTCCGTTTTGTCCATATTCAGCTGCAGGAAGTTTACTCTCATCCAGGCCTTGATGTCTGCCAGACAAGCTGATAGAACATTGGCAGAGCTGGAGCTGGTACTGGAGGAGGCAGAGTAGATTTGTGTGTCATCCACATACATGTGGAAGTTTACCCACTGACTCATATAGATAAGGAAAAGAAGAGGGCCAAGGATGGACCAGGCGGGGTTGGGTAGAGAAACCAATTGCTGAGATGAAATGGAGGTGGTTGGTTAAGTAGGACTCGAACATGTGACTGCAGTTCCACTAAGGTGGATGAGGGAGGAGAGGCAGTGGAGGAGGATGGCGTGATTGACTGTGTTAAATGCAGCAGAAAGATCCAGGAGGACGAGGAGGCAGAGGGAGCTCTGGTCACAGATAGAGAGAATGTCGTTTGTGACTTTGACAAGTGCTATCTCGCAGCGTGTGGTATTTACCACAATAATTGGGACCATCCCCATTGCGCATAAGCAAACGGTGGACATCATGTAAAATACAAATCGGCTACAGTGCTAACTAACCAATTCATCTACTAAAAGTTATACTCTCACCATAGAACCATTCTATGCTCTTCACTCTCATTACCACACTCACTCTCTGACACTTCCGCAGTCTCTCTCTCGCATTCTCCCTCTGAATCTCTAATTTTCTATGACTCCTTCTATTCTATTCTATTCTATTCAAGACTTGCCTTTGCACTCCAACTAAAAAATCCAGTTATGCGCATGCACGTGATGTTATGACAGATCCTTAGCTGAGCAACACAGTCATAAATGGATTCAGAATGTGGTGCGTGCTTACACACTCTTGGATCCCACTGTGCTCGAACCACTGAAAAATAAATGGTAAAATCATTTTTTTAGATCAAATTCAGGGGAAAAAAATATTGTTTTACCAATCGACTTTCATTGAACAAAACTTATTTTTCAAATAAAGTCAGCAAAAATTGATATTAAGGGTCCTTAAGAATACTGCTGAAAATAATATTTATACCTATACTTAACAGTCCCCCTTCACCAATATGACATTTCCATTCCATATCAGCTATCTTGTGCATTTTGATTGAAGCTGTCAATTTAGTGCCGATTAGCATTTAATAGCCAAATGCTCTGGACTTGCATCCATGAAGAGATTGCTTGAAACTGATAAGATTCATTTAATTTAGTTTAGGAACATTGAGTTTTCATTTGATTCATCAAATGTGCCATGCCAGACATGAGAGATTCTGTATACTTAGGTGCATAGATGAGAGAGAAGTGAATACAACAACAACTTGCATTCATACAGTGCCTATCACATATGGGATAGTGAGGTGCATCACTGAGAATAGAAGGTATAGGGGGAGGGGAGGGAGAGGGGATTAGAAGGGGTGGAGGCTCTCATGTGAAGTATAAACACCGGCATGGACTAATTCGGCTGAATGACCTGTTTCAGTGTTGTAGATTGTACAGAAGGATTGGGAGCTGAGGAAGTTTGAGCTATGTGGTAATGTGTCACCTACTGACTGATCAGAGAGCTTGTGCAAGGTGACACTTGCCCCACCAGAGTAGCACATATGGCAGTCACAGTAGCCCTCAATATGAAAAAATAGAAGAAGGGGGAGAAAATAGACACAGGAGGCGGTAGTTAATTAGAATACAGCACACCTGCTTAGCTGTGAGGAAAGCAATTGTGAAAACGTAGGAAAATGCATTGGACCATTGCAAAAATGTAAAAAATAATTAAACATCATTCAGCTCAAAATGACCTGAGGAGCAACATTTTCCATTTAATGTGTTTCTTTGATTCATTCCAATACACAACAAAGAGTAGCTCAAGGTGAAATGAAGCATGTGTTTTCTTGGAGATTAACCAGACTAACAGAACAGTTCAGGTTCAGTTATCTAGATGAATTATTGCTGAAATATGCACAGTGGGAGTAGGGGACCTGCAATACACGCAGGACATGAAAAGAACATTTGAATAAAGGTTTTGTCATTGTTTTGGAATGTGAACCAGTCATTTGTTCTTGACGATTAATCAAGGACTGACAGTTATGTAAGGTGGTGCACACTGGAGCATGATGAATACCATGGCAAATATTTAACAACCGCATTAAACTGAGACCATGATTTAGTAGTTGGATCAATAATTTACCTATTTTGCAGAATGTTTTTTTCTCAGTCTTAAAAATGGGACCTAACATATGGTTTAAATTTAGAAAGTAATAATGTACCGATTAGGAATTGTTAGATGTGACTGAGAAGAAAACACTCCCCTCTCCTACTTTTTCTCAATGCCAATGCCCCTTAAGTTGGGTCAAACAGTGTACTTACATGCAGTGTTTTGACTGCGGGTTAGCAGCTTCTTGGCTTTTTGCTAAACAAAAAACTGCTAATGACAATTCAATGCAACAATTTATGAGCCAGAGTTAAATGCACAATCAACTTATAAAGTGATGGCAATGAGAATGGTCATGTGTAGAAGGGGAGGAGAAGAGTTCTGTCTCCAGAAAATTCAATTTATACATTATGAATTTCTAGATTTAAGCCTCTTATTAAACCCCAATATTCTGTTTCTATAAAACTTTTTCCGCCTCCATCAGTACCTCACAACCAAAGCAGCCGAAACCCACACATTTGTCACTTCCTGACTGGACTATTCCAAAGCCTTCCTCACTGGTCTCCCCAGCTCCACCATACATAAACTTCAACTAATTCAAAACTCCGCCGCCCGGATACTCACCTGCACAAAACTCCTTTCTCCCATCACACAGTCCTTGCCAGGCTCCACTGGCTTCCAATTACCAAATGGATCAATTTCAAGATCCTCTCACTCGTTTTCAAATCCACTGATACCCTCGCACCCCCCCACTCCTCCACCTGCTGTCTATGCTCGGCTGGCTCCAGCTTCCTGTTTGTCCCTCGTTCACTCCGCTCCACCAGCAGTGGCCGTGCCTTCAGCCACTACGCCCCAAAACTCTGGGACTCTCTTCCTCAATCCCTCCGTCTTGTCCCCTCCCACCCCATTTTCAAATCCCATCTAAAGACCTTCCTTTTCAAATATGCTTACGTGTCCCCTCCCTCTCTCCCTCGGTGTGAAACTCCGCCACTGTGAAGGGCGCTATATAAATGCAAGTTGTTGCTGTTTACCACTGCTTCACATTTTAAGTTTCATACTGCCCCCTACCGACTCCATGGTACCTCCCTAACTTGGGAGATCAGCATGGAATGTATAGGACTGGAAAGGCCCATTTGTCCAGTCCCATTTTCATACACCAATTCTCTCTATCTCTATACACACTATCCACTTCCTTGCGTAAATATATTAACTATCCTTTAGTGCAAGCAGATATATCTAAGCTGTATATTCACCCTCATCCTCTCGCTTTGAAACAGTCACCCCTTGTTTTGCACCTCTGATGATATTAAATAAGTTATTGGAGTCTATTTGTCAATAACTAGAAAACTTCATTAAGATTGCCTTTTCTCCATGTAAACATCTCCAGTTTCTGCAATTTCTCAGCATTGCTCTGTTTCATAGATACACAATTTATATCAATAGCTTGTAATAGAAAAGAAGTAATCACAAGTGCATTGTTTAGATTGTGTGCATGGCTTCAGCGTTGTTATGATAAGAATAGAACCAATTATAATAATTCAATAGGTCTTCCTTCTACTTTTTCCAGTGCTACTGCAATCACAATTCTCAGAAATGTACAGGATACTCCCAGTGGGATGGCATGCATTTGCACAGTATTATTATATAACAAAACACTGTTGGACTATAGGAGGCATATTTCTGTTGGATATAAATTGTGTTATCTGTGAGTCACAAATTACTTTTTCAGTTCATTCGGTATTGGTGTAACCATTTTTGTTTATTAGCGATCTTACGTATTCTCTCCTCGTTCAGTTTTCAGGACTCTACTTTCTGTCTTTTTTCACGATCATACTGGGATTAATCCTCTACACTTCCACATCTACTTACGTGGCCCAAGATCCACGCGTATACAAGCAATTCCGCAATCCAGTCGGTCCTGTGATAGAGATACCATCCACTGGACAAATGGAGCCATCAGTCACCTACTCCAGCCTAGGCCAGGAGACGGAGGAGGAAGCTCATGTCCGAGTCCCATAAGAAGACACTGAGCACACTCTCTGGCACTTCAGTGAGCCTTGATCTGTATTCCTGGATTGTTTTTTTTATGTTTACATCACCTCATTTCCCTTCTTATTTTTTGGTTGGTTTATTGCATTTTAGTATTTATTTTTCAAGCCAAATTTCTAGAATTCTTTTTACTAATTATAGATTTTAGTAAATTGCAACTTGAGACAATTGGGTTTAAAGTATATCCAGGTCAGTTCACTGACTACGAGTTTTTAAAGTGCATTGCAATCAACTGATGGTTAAAAAAGTGCCATCTAAAACACTTTTTTATAATATAGTCTATATATCGCTACCACTGTATGGGTATAAGGGGGATTTTAACTGAGTCTAAATATGCACTGTATTTTTTCTCATTTCCATACTTTCCCATCTTTTTGCACATAAATGTTTCCATGTTAAGGCCATCTAAGAAGTCATTTAAAGGGTGACATTATCTTTCTTTCTGTATGAAGCACCATTATATGACCTCTGAACCTGTGTCATTTCTAGAATGGTTTATTGTATAGTTTAGAATTTGCTAACTTGTGCTGTTAACCTTTTGAAAAAGATGTGTAGTATCTTTGTGTTGCTTTAACAATTAGTATACTTCACAGTTAGGTAGAAAAAGTATGGACTGTACCCCATGGGTAGAAATCTACTGTTAATGAAATAAATACAATAACATAGCACAGTTAACTCAACACCGTAACAGGAAAACAAACCAAAAACTGCACAGTTCAACTGAAAGAAGCCCTTTATCTTTTTGATATCTGCATGCTCTTTATGGACTGGCTGTGACAATGTAATGCCTGTATGATGTTTTCAAATAAATGCTTTATGAAAGATAATATCACAACACAGACTCCCGTCTGGTGTTTCCAATAATTACTCAACACAGCATTGATAAAAATAGACCAGAAAGTTATTGTGTTCAAACTGTAAATGATGGCAATTTACATATTTACGCAATGCAGTAAAAATACCCTCATGATTCAGGGAAATTAATGTTATATGCAGCTGTTAATTTGACAAAATGCAGGCGTGGATCTAGCTCATGTGTCTTTTAGGGGTGAATGTGTTTAATTATTCATCAAATTAAGAATTCAATGTATTTTTGGTCAGTTAAATGATTCACTTCTCAGGATAAAACGCTCCAATACGGATTTTTATTTTTTACTCTGATGAAACTGAGATTGTCAGTGTCTGCCACTGTCAGCAAGGTTTCAACCCTTCGTCATGGCTGGAATTTGAGTTTACCCACATCATGCTAATAGTTTTCCAAATCCCTAAGTGCAAAAGATCCACATTCCTCAACAAGTACAGCCCTTGTCAGCACAGAAATAGAGAAAAACTGTATGTCACAAAAAAGGATCTGTTTGAGATGTACTGAACTTCCATGTTAAAGAAAATGTGTAGATTAGTGGCAGTGATTAAAAAAAGGAATCCAATGATAAAATGAATGAGAAAAAACACACATCATCAGAAATGAGGCATGCATTATTTTGAAAAGATTCAAGTGGATTTAATCAACAAAGATGTAATAATAACATAAAAATGAATCATCCTTACATTTGATTTAGCATCTTTTACATCAGGAGGATTTCTTAAAACTCTTCCCAATCTGAAAGGCACTATATAAATGAAATAAGTTGTTGTTGTTTATGTGATTTACTGTAAAGTGTTGTGACTGTGTATCTTGCAGGCAAATAATTTGCTTGAAAATGCCTGCCACATGTAATGCACAAAGTCAAATCCTTTTAATAAGTGTTGCCTGCAGTTTAAAACTTTTGCCCTATGTGGGTATTTAAATACAGGTATTAGGGTCTCAGCAATAGTTACAAACTGCATTGTGTGTTAATTGTGACTTTTAATTACTCTAACGTCCCCCTCGCTGATCTCCTCTCCTCCACTATTCACAAAGTCCAGCTCATTCAATACTCTGCTGCCTGCATTCTCACCCGCAACAAACCTCATACCCCAATTACTCCAGTCCTTGCCAAACTCCACTGGCTCCCTGTCACAGAGCAGATCGACTTCAAGATCCTCACTCCAGTGTTTAAATCCCTCCATTGCTTGGCACCCCCCTATCTCTCTCAGCTCTCTCCCCACAGCAGCAACCACTGCCTCCATTCTGCTGGGTCCGGCCTGTCCCCCGAATCCTCCGCTCCACCATCGGCGGCCGTGCCTTCAGCTACTATGCCCCAAAACTTTGGAACTCCCTCCCTCAACCCCTTCACTTCGCCCCCTCCTTCCCCATCTTCAGGTCGCGCCTAAAGCTTTTCCTCTTCAACCGCACCTACGATCACCTTCCCCCTCCCCCTCGCTCGGCATTGGGCTCCACCATTGTTAAGCGCTGTGAGACACCGGCCGGAGTGGAGTGTGCTATATAAGTGCAAGTTGTTGTTGTTTAATTGTGAGATTAACTGTTAACTGCAAGGCTCTCAAATAGCAGTTTCTAAAAACTGGTCAAGGATGCAAACAGGATGGCGTTTTGCTCAAATGCCTTTTATTTTTACATATCAACTCCAGGATTCGCAAATCACTGTTTTGTAAAATCTCACTATTGATATTAGAAAAATAGAAGTTATAATAACATAGCTGATCAGGTTTGCGAATATCCCTTTTTAGATCCCATTATCATTTTATAATGTTTTAAACCTCATTGCACATTTGTGGTCTTCCATCTTTGACGTACAGCTGCCAATGTTACCAGCAACAATAAACAAAATAATCAAACTGCTGTATTTATTACAGTTGCTTCAATAATAGCAGTTCATGTCTGAAATCAAGGGTGCACTTTCAGCCTGCATTCTTAATGTGCACTATCTTTACTGAGACTGCCCTACTTTTATGTAAATGCAAGACATTTTTGGTGCCTAATGGGCACCTTTAAGAGTGTTAACAAATGTTATTTCTGCTCAAAGATATAATTACAACTATTTTATGACAATCTATAAAGTTTAGTAATAGATAAATGTTAAGTGTATTTTTTTAACTCTAATTTACAGGAATTCAAACTTAGAATTATTCAATCTGTCAACGATCCAGGGAAATTTACAATAATTGTTATCTTCTCAAGCACACATTCCAAGGCAGACATCGATTATCTATAGTGATTTCTCTGATGTTCTTGGTAAAAGTAAACTGCTCTCCATCCATTTCATTAGAATTGTATGGGCATGAGGGAGATTTTAATATCTGTGAAATGAACCATCAACACTATCTTGATAACTAATTGTCACTTTGGGACAGACTACTAAATTCACAGAGCTGATCTGAAATGAAATACTGTGTCTGTGCATCCACATACAGCACATGTGCAGCAAATAAGGACTAATCTGATGGCGACTTAATGACTTGGAAGTTGTCCTATTTAGCGTGAAAGATGGCCAGCATATGAGATGTCAGCCGGAACGGATCCCACACTGCAACCACGTTATACCTGAATTAATTCTATAAAGAAGCAGATTATAACAAACCTGCACTATATGAGACTAAATATTGTTCCCAGTTCCGGGCGCTTCACAGTAGAAAGGATGTCAAGTCGATGGCGTGGGTACAGAGAAGATTCACTAAATGGGTTTAATTTGTGATATTTATTAATGACACTTGTGGTGGGCTGCAAGTAGTGAAGCTGTACTGCCAATCACAGCCTGGCATGTGAGGGGCCCTCTAACAGCCTTGTTAGAGAGATTAATGGCCTCCATCACCCAACAATGTCACAAAGAGAAGGCTGGAGCACAGAGTCTTTCAATTCAAGTAAACGTATCATTAGATTCTGGACATGCTCTGTTGCAGTTTCAAGGCAAGGTAGCCATCAACCTCTATTGTGTTTGTTGCTTCATAAAATCATATTACCCTTGTCAAACTCTCGCATAGGGGCTTACAGCAGTTCGCATTACTATGAAAAATGTAGACACAGTTAATGAGGATCAAATGTACTTTGTTAAACAGTACATGATGTTATGTTCAAAACTCTACTGTGCAGCTAAAGTATTTAGAGAAACTTGCAGAAACAAATATATATAGAATTATCATACATTAATATCAAGTAAGGTATGGTTCAAAATCTCTTCCTCTGATAATAATATTAATCCTTGCATTTGATATAGTGCTTTTCATGTCTTTAATAATAAAATAATAATAATAATATCCTTGCATTAGATATAGTGTTTTCCACGTCTTCTAGACGTCTTAAAGTGCTTCACATAATATACTGTAAAGTGAATTGACTGTATATTTGTGGGCGAAACGCGGCAGCCAATTTCACACAGCAGTGTCCCACAAACAGTCGTGGATTGAAGTAACCAATTTATTATTGTTTTTTTTTCTTATGGGATTATTATCAGGCATGTGGAGTAAGGAAACTTGGCCAAGGTTTTGCCCTCGCAGGAATTGAACCCAGGTTTCTTGCTTGCGAGGCAAGTGCTCTAACCACTGAGCTACAGGATTCCACTCTTCATTAGAAGATTTTTAAACATTAAAGAACTTTGCAGAAATAAAAGTATATTACTGTTGCCCACTTCAAAGTACCCAGTATAATGCAATTACTATTGTTTGTATATCCATTACTTACCCATTTGCTTGCATCAGTAACAAAATTCAGCCAAGTTTAAAGATGTTTATCGAATACCCGTACATATAAAATATGCCCCCAAAATGACAGCAAACAGTTAAAACATTAAATTAATGTTACCCTTAAGATTTAACATCAGCGTCATTCTCTGTAGCTGGCTGTAGAATCTGCCTACTGCTATCCTTCATCTTTACCCAAAGCCTGCCCACTTCGAGTGCTATTGTTGAAAGTGACTTTGTTGTTGAGGCCAGTTCCACTTCTAATCTCCATGGACCCTCCAGACTAGTTGATTCGCGTGGGATTACCGAAAGTAAACTTGGTTCCCTGAGGAAAGTGTTCACCCTCAGAATCCTCATGGTCTTCACCCAGCAATTTTAGGGGACACTTTGTGTAGTTCTTCTGTTTTATGTTTGCTATATGTCAGTTGCAAGTAGTAGCTCATTTTCTGAGCTTGTTCGACAAACAAAAGTAGAAGGAATAGAGTTTACATCTGTGTGACACAGGGACATAAACGCTGAGCATTAAGAGTTGTGATAAGGAGAAAAGAAAAGCCATTTTATGTTGGGCTCTAAAAAGGTCCATTCCACTGAAAGATTTTACAAAGTTTAAAAGGAGTCTGCTTTCTAAATTAAATTCAAGCACTTTAAAATACTTAAGTCCTGTAGCTTAGTGGTTAGAGCACTCGCCTTGCAAGCGAGGTACCTGGGATCAATTCCAGGCAGGGCGAATCCTTGGGCAAGTTTCCTTACTCCACACGCCTAATAATAATCCCTCCAAAACAAGACAATAATAAATTGGTCATTTTCAATCCACGACTGTTTGTGGGACACTGCTGCGCGCAATTGGCTGCTGCGGTTCGCCCACAAATATACAGTCAATTCACTTTACAGTCTATTCTGTGAAGCACTTTGAGACGTTGAGAAGACCTGAAAGGCGCTATATCAAATGCAATGATTATTATTATTAAATATGCTATACTGTATTTAATATTTACTTCATTAATGGCCTGGCTTCTTTTCTCCCTAGATTGCATGTTACCTTATTTTCTTTTTCCTTCACAGTTCTCTTTGATGGGTGCTGATCACGTTCTGGTACCTACTTGCGGGAATTATAATGATATTGTTACAAGCTATAATAGTGTCAAAAATCCCAAAGATTCTTGCTTTCTTATCTCACTGCAATATGTAACAGACGAACATTGCAATGGCATTGATATTTTTGTTATTTTTATCTCCAATGTTAGAGAAATGTTTACATGCCATTAGCGTGAACTTTCTGAT